CCCTCGATCGGGATGTTCCATAAACGAAGGACTTTGGTCTTGTCACTCGCCCACCCTAAGGGATGTTCCGAAAACATTGTGGTCGTCCAGCCCGGAGGCGTGGACGTTGTCGACCACATGCCCACCCCTTAGAGTGTTCCAAAAATGAGCGACCTTCGCCTACCTCTCGATCGGGATGTTCCATAAACGAAGGACTTTGGTCTTGTCACTCGCCCACACTAAGGGATGTTCCGAAAACATTGTGGTCGTCCAGCCCGGAGGCGTGGACGTTGTCGACCACATGCCCACCCCTTAGAGTGTTCCGAAAACGAGCGACCTTCACCCACCCCTCGATCGGGATGTTCCATAAACGAAGGACTTTGGTATTGTCACTCGCCCACTCTAAGGGATGTTCCGAAAACATTGTGGTCGTCCAGCCCGGAGGCGTGGACGTTGTCGACCACATGCCCACCCCTTAGAGTGTTCCGAAAACGAGCGACCTTCGCCCACCCCTCGATCGGGATGTTCCATAAACGAAGGACTTTGGTCTTCCTTCTCCAAGAGAGTCGTAAGGGCGATCGACTTCCATTGCGAGTGTCGACTTGTGAACATGTAAAGTATGTGAAATGTCGTTAAATGGACCAAATGAAATCTGCATGCACTTGCAATCGTAGCAAATTGATAATATTGACAGAAAAACATTTCCATGTAGAGTTAAGCCAATTTCGATAATTTTTCGAATGAAAATTACATCAGATCACTTGTTCGAAATTAGAAAAGAAAGTCCTACACGTAATATTTTTTAAGATTAGCTACATTCCACGACCTGGCTAAGGATCTGCCCTCAGCATCCTTCAGCGAGTATGATCCTCCTGCGTGAACTTTTTCGACCAGGTATGGTCCTTCCAAATTGGGCTCCAGTTTCCCTACATGCTTGAGCACGTCCACCCTCTTCCATACTAGATCCCCCACTTGGAAATGGCGGACCCTCACTTTTCGATCATGGGCTGCTCTCATTCGCTGCTTGTAAGCCTCAACTCTGGTCGAGGCTTGTTCTCTGAGTTCTTCGACCGTGTCTAGGGCAGTTAACATGAGCTCCTCATTCTGCTCTCGGTCATATGTGCTTACCCTTTGGGATTGCAACTCCAGTTCAATTGGCAAGAGTGCCTCCATTCCATAGACCAGGCTGAACGGCGTCTCCTTTGTGGTCGACCTCGGGGTGGTCCTGTATGCCCAGAGCACAGATGTTAGCTCATCGACCCAGGCCCCCAAGGCTTTTTCCAATCTCGTCTTCAAGCCATTCAATATAATTCTGTTGGTCACCTCTACCTGCCCATTGGCCTGAGGATGGGCGACTGAGGCAAAATGCTGCTCGATCCCCATCTCCTCGCACCACATCTTGATACGTTTACCATTAAATTGGGTTCCATTGTCAGATATCAGGACTTTGGGAACCCCGAATCGGCAGCAGATGTTGTTGTATAAGAATTGGATTATCTTCTCCTCAGTGATCTTGGCTAAAGGTTCCGCCTCCATCCTTCGTAAAGTAATCAACTGCTACGACCAAGAACTTTCGTTGTCCTGTCGCTAGCGGCATTGGCCCTACGATGTCAACTCCCCACTGCGCGAATGGTATGGGCGCGCTCATGGTGGTCATAGTTTCGGCGGGCTGGTGGATGAGAGGTCCCTGCTTCTGACATTGCAAACACCTTTTGGTCATGTCCTTCGCATCTGTCTTCATCGTCGGCCAGAAATACCCAGCTCGCAGGATCTTTTCTACCATGACTCTAGCCTTGCTATGATCTCTGCAGCACCCTTCGTGTACCTCTCGGAGAACGTTTCGACCTTCCTCCTTGGCCACACAACGCAAATGCGGCCCTGAATACGACCGTTTGTAGAGGATTCCCCCTTGCTCGAAAAATCTCCGTATTACTTTTACCGTCCCTTCGCGCAGTTCTTTTAAGATTGGGGTTCTCCAGTCCTCGACTTCCTCGATCTCTGCTACTTCAGCCTCGACCACACTTCTCTCCATGTGAAGCAAAGTTACACTTCTGCTTTTACAATCTACTAGGCTTTGAGCGATTTTAGACAGCAGATCAGCTCGACCATTTTCTCCTCTTGGTATTTGCATCAACTCGAACGACCCAAATTCCTCTTTCAATCCTTTCATATCGTTCACATAACGTTGCAACCTGTCCTCCTTAACCTCAAAGCCTTCTTGGAATTGTCCAACCATCAGTTGAGAATCTGAATTGACCTGAATTCTCCTCGCTCCACCTGACCGAGCAAGTTGTAGTCCTTTAATCACCTCCTCGTATTCAGCCTCGTTGTTCGACACCCGAAATCCCATCTTTACAGCGAACTCCAGGTGGTCTCCCTTGGGTGAGATTAAGACTATCCCCAATCCAGCTCCACTCCTCGATACTAAACCATCTGCGAACAATTGCCATACGCCCTCTTCCTGCTCTTCTTCCTTCGTACACTCCTGGATGAAATCGGCTAGGACTTGCGCTTTAATCGCCTCCTCGGCTCATACAATATAGAATATTCGCTCAATTCGACCACCCACTTAACTAATAGACCAGACACCGCTGGTCATCCCAATGTTTGCTCTAGAGGCATATTTTGCGCACCTTGACCCTATGATTCAGGAAGTATGGTCTTAGCTTTCGAACTATCACGACCACTACTAGTGCACATTTCTCAATCTCCGAATATCTCAGCTCTGCCCCTTGCATCACTCGACTAACATAGTATATTGGGAGCTGAGCTGACCCGTCCTCGCGCAACAATACTGAGCTTACTGCGTTCTCACCCACAGATATGTAAAGCACGAGGTCTTCTCCGTGGACAGGTTTGGCTAGCAATGGCAGGTTCACTAGCACCTTTCGTATCTTCTCGAAAGCTTTCTGTGCCTCCTCCGTCCATTGGAATTTCGAGCTCTTCTTTAGTGTTTTGAACAAGGGACCACTTTTCTCGGCTACCTTAGAGATGAACCTGCTTAAGCCCGCTATTCGACCAGCTAGAATCTGGACCTCCTTCACATTGGTAGGTGGTTTCATCTCGATGACCGCCCTTACTTTCTCTGGGTTCACCTCTATTCCCCGCTTGGTCACCATATAGCCTAAGAATTTTCCTGCTTTTACGCCGAACTAGCATTTGGTCGGGTTAAGTTTCATACCATATCTTCGCAGTGTTTGGAAAGTCTCCCTTAAATCGCCCACGTGGTCAGTTTCTATCTTGCTTTTGACCAGCATGTCGTCCACATACACCTCCATTTTTCTTCCCAACTGGTCTTTGAAAATCTGGTCGACCAACCTTTGATAAGTTACTCCAGCATTCTTTATCCAAAACGGCATCACCACATAGCAATAAGTACCCTTGCTCGTGATAAAACTTACTCTCTTCCAATCATCCTTCGCCAAGGGGATTTGGTGATAGCCTTGCGAGGCATCCATCAGACTGAAGAGTTCACAACCCGCCGTGGAGTCTATCAACTTGTCGATCCGTGGCAAAGGGTATAGGTCTTTCGGGCATGCTTTGTTAAGGTCGCGGAAATCAATGCACATCCTCCACTTCCCTCCTGATTTTGATACCATGACCGTGTTGGACAACCATTCGGGAAATTGGATCTTCTTGATATGTCCAGCGCTTAAGAGTTTCTCAACCTCCTGCTCTATTATTTTGTCCATCTCCGCTCCATGGTGCCTCTTCTTTTGCTTCACTGGCTTTATGGTAAGGTCAATGTTCAACCGGTGCTCGATCACCTTAGCCTCGATCCCGGTTAGCTCCCCTGCTGTATATGTGAAGATATCCGCAAATTCCCTTATCAAGTCTACCAATCTCGACCTAACTGGTTCGCTCAGTTCTTTCTCAATTCTAAACTTTCGATCATCCTTCCCCTCTACCATCTGGACTTCCTCCACCTCACCTCCCGGTTGCATGTCCATTTTCTCTTTTCCCTTACCCTGCCATCCTTTCTCCTCCTTCGACCTCGATCCCCCTGGCCAGTCTGGTCTTTCTTCTCCCTTTGCCTGTTTCCTCGCCATTTGCTTGTTGTTACTAATAGTGGTTTGGTAGCAACTCCTCGACGTGAGCTGATCCCCCACAATCTCGCCCACATTTTCACCCATCGGATATTTGATCGTCATGTGGTATGTAGACACGATTGCTTGGAACGCATTCAATCCAGTTCGCCCTAGTATAATATTGTAGGATGATTCTGCACCTACCACCACGAACCACACCATTCGCACCTTCCTGGTGTCACCCGATCCCAATGCCACCGTTAAACTCACTTTGCCCATTGGCATCACTTCCCCACCGTTAAAACCGTATAAGGCCGTTGACACCGGTTTCACCTCCAGATTCAAATGCTTGTTGATCTGCGCGAAACAGTCATAGAACATTACATCCACCGAGCTTCCTGTGTCGATAAACACCCTTTTTATATCAAAACCTGCTTCTTCTGCTGTGATAACGAGTGCATCATTGTGGGGCAGTAAAATCCCCTCTGCATCCTCTGCTCGAAAACTAATCACTGTCATTCGACCAGTTATTCCAACTTCCTCCCTCTTGCGCTTTGCTGCTCGCACATGACCCTTTCATGCATTGTTCGAGTCCCCATCCGTGGGCCCTCCAGAAATCATGTAGATTGTGCCTCTTTTCGCTGGCATCTCCACCCTCGGTTCCTCTCAAGCACCACCTCCCCGATTCCTCTTTTCCCTCCTGTCTTCATCCTCCTTATCATCATCCCTATCACTCCTCGCCACGGAGTTCTCCCTACACCCTCTTTTTTCCTTTCCTCGCGGTCGATCTCGGATGACAAACTCCTTCAAGTGCCCTGCCCTTATGAGACGCTCAATCTCATCCTTTAAATGTCTGCAATCCTCCGTAACATGCCCATAATCCCTATGGAATCTGCAGTACCTGCTCGACCTGGGTTTGGTCGGCCCTTCGAACCTTGTGGCTGGCCATGTAACCTCTCTACTCTCCAGTTTTTCCTCAATGGCCACCAGTACCTCGCCCACTTGATCATTAAGGGGAGTGAAATTGTTATATCTCTGACCATTGGGTAGTCGGGGTCTCCCTTGCCAACAATCTTCTCGCCCTCCTTGAAACTGATTTCGGCTATCTCCCCTGGGCGACAACCTCCTGAATGAGCCATTTTTCGGGGGGTTTCTCCTAGGTGACCCTCTCCTAGGTGAACTCGGCTTTCCTTTCCTTTGGTCGGGCCTCGCCACCTCCTCGAGTTTGGCAAGCTCGGCTTCCGTCTCCTCCAAGTTGATGTACTTCTTGCATCTTTTTATCACCTCGTCATAAGTTCGAGCAGGTGTCTTTGCTAATGACGTTCGACATGGCCTTGGTCGCAGGCTCCTAATTAATCCTCCCGCCTTCACCTCGTCAACTGCCGTGGGCACCTCCAGGCACATCTGATTGTATCGAGCAACATATTTACGCAGAGACTCTTTTTCGCCCTGCCGCATCGCCATCAGAGTGAGATACGTATTTTCCTGCGCGACTGCACTGGCGTACTGGTTGACAAGTTGCCCGGCAAAATCCTCGAAATCTTTGATCGACCCGGGAGTTAGCTGATGGAACCAATCAAGTGCGCCACCCCGCAAGGTCGACAGAAACGCACTTCAACTGACTGGGTCTGAGTATCCATGCAACACGAACATGTTTTCAAATGCCCTAACATGCCTTGACGGATCGCTCGAACCATCAAAGGTCAAGTTTATCTCCTTAAAACTCGCAGGTAGTGGGGCAACCAGTATCTCACTCGAGAACGGATGTCCTCGAGAACGCCTATCGGATCTCCCTTCCACTCTCTCTTGCAGTTGCCGGAGTTGCTCGGCCATCCTCTCCATTGCCCTATCCCTGGGCTCCCCTCCTCCTCCATAGCTCGATACGTCCTCCTCATGCGTCGCCGGCATCGTGGTCAGCGTGGCGGTAGCCTGGGACGTCTGGTGGGTGACCTGTTGCACAGCCTGTGCCGCCGCGTTGGCTATCATCCGTTGTATCTCCTCCCTCGTCATGGTCACCATTTATGGAGCAGGAGGTTGTGGTACTCCTACTGGTGGCGTCACCGTTTGTACCACCGGTCCCAATTGCTGCGCCACAGCTAGGCAGGCTTGCGACGGCACGACATCTGCCATCAGTGTCTCTCCAGGGGCCTCCTGGTCCCTGCTCGTACCTTCTCCAACGTTCGGCATCGTCACACCATGGGGCACTGGTGTTGGAGTCACCGGCGTTTGTGATGGTGCAGAAAAGCCAGGGGGAGGTCCCGTTCCCATCGGTCTTGTCGTCGTCCACGCCTCATCGAACGACGGCTGCAAGTTAATTCGGGGAATTCCGTCCGCCATGTCGGAGCTTGAAACAAAACTTTTCGAATAGAATGTTCCCACAGACGGCGCCAATAATACAAGTCTAACCTTCAACCGGCCAAGAACCGCCACAAGCTCGCCTTCCTCGCCGGTAGAACGCTCGACCTGCAAAGAACTCCCACACCGGAGGTGTTTTCCGGTGAAGAGCCTCCAACGCTCAAGTCAGATCTTGAGAGATGAAGAATATATGTGTAAAAATCAGAATATATATGAGATCGTGTCTAAAGTGAGAATTCTCGTCCCTATTTATAGGAACGAGCTACCTGTTCTGCACGCGTGATTTAAGCGAGTCTGGCCAGCTATCCTCCTACTCGTCCGTACATCCGCGCGCCTCCACTATCCTTGGTGTCGGGAATTGCGTCGAATCTGTCAGAAAATGTCAGAGTTCGTTACGGCCGAGATCCACATGAAAAGCGCCACGTGTCCTCGTTCCACGTGCTGAAGGCTTTCTCATTTGTCATGGCGCTCGACCAGATATATGAGGGTGTCAGAGTGTGTGGCTGTTCTTAAGACGGTCAGTAGTTAGGTCTTCGACCAGGTCCTTAGCTCGACCAGCTTCGTCTAGTGGTCGAGCAGCTACTGCGTCTTCTCGCCACCCCTTACATTGTCTTCTGGGCTACATGTACTCTACTACGCTCGACCAGGAGATCAGTTTATTCCTTCCGGTTCAGCAGCCGAGCTGGTCTAGTATATAATATCCCATATCAGACTGAAATTCTGAAATACTGAAATACTAGTCTGGAATCCTGAAATACTAGTCTAGAATTCTGAAATATTTAATTCTAATCTGAAATTCTGAAATAGAAATTTGAAATTCTGAACTGCTGAAATACTAATCTGAATATTAGTCTGAAATTCTAAAATACTTACTAGTTTGAAATTCTAAAATACTGAAATAATAATCTAAAGTTTTGAAATACAGTTCTAGAGTGCAGACGCAAATATAGGTTCAAACATCAATGGCAAACAAACAATAAGCGAAACATAAATAAAGCATAATTAATTCAAACAATTCAAAACATGACATAACGCAAATATCCAGACTGATGACCACCACCACATCCGGCTCACGCTCCACGCGGGACTCCATCACCTGAAAAAGAAGGTAGTGGGGAGGCGTGAGCACAAAGGAATCAATGGTGCTCCGCCAGGGCCAGCACTGAATACTCAGCACATTTAATAATCCATCATGAAATTAGCATATATATAAATAAATTGGAATAACTATGGGACTAACGGTAAACCGGTACTCATGTGCACACCCTGGGGGTCCCCTCCCACAGAAATCCAGGAAAGGCACTAATCACCCCATCTGGACGTTAGACTTAGGACGGGTCCTAATCACACACATCCAAGTCACAACTGAAGTACTGAAAATTTGACCAAGACGGGATCACTCATCCGTCTCGGTCCTTCAATTTAATCACATATGGACCTCAGACATGGTAAATTATTAAAAGCGATGAAATACACAGTACATGGTCCCCACCTGAAAACTGGCGATTGCGAATGCTGAAAATATCTGAAATGGGTAGCTGACGGAGGTTCGACTCTCCTAAAGCTATCTTTTTATCGTTTATATTTTTAGGTAGATTATCGCCTTTTGTTATTTCTTATTTGCTATCTTAGTTAATCATTTTTCCATAAATCTTGATTAGAATGTTTAGGCTTTATTTTGATTTTATGTGATTTCAACACCAATTCTAGATTCCGAACAGTCTTCCTCGAAAGATCGACCCGAGAAACGAATCATTTGATTCGGTGCTCGGTAATATAAAAATAATTTGCTACAACAAATTTGGCGCCGTTGCCACTCATGTTACCACTCTTGTCCGCAAACAAGGTGGTACCGAGCAGAACGTACATTCCTCCAGCTGCTACATGCTGAGCCGACCTATTTGCGCCGGCCTCGCCCCTCAATGCATCAAAAGCGTCACCTTGGCTCACTGAACCTTTTGTTGGGTTCTATTAGGAACGTCGACAATGTGCACATTCATATCTATTGAATAATAATAAATCCTAACACAGCGGAATCTATAGTTAGGACTAGGACTTACGGTAAAAAAAAAAAAAAAAAAATTTGCCGACTCTGAGACATTTCTGATTTCCGTTGATGGAGATCGTCTGAACACCAAAATCTAATGGGCAGCTAGACTTGGCCTTTCTCGATTCTAATAGAGTCACCATGGTGCTCCAATTGCTAATCAAGCCCATCAGATTGTTTCGGACTTTCGGTAGGTGAGTCGGACTCCTCGGGCCGCTCGGGAACCATCTTGGACATGAACCGGATCTTTTGGACCAAGTTGAACCGTTTTGGTGCGACCTGGACTTGCCTGGACCGGTATAATGTCACTCGGGGCTTGTTGGCAGTGATCTGGGCTCACTCCGATCAAGCTGGACTCGCTTGGATGCTTCTGGGCTTGTTTCAAAGTCGCTGGGCTGCTTAACGCTTGATGGGCCGAAAAAAAATGCGCATTTGGGCCAAAGGACGTGCGCTGTTGGGCCGTGAGGAGTGCTGGGAACACGCGGGATGGCACCGGGCTGCGCGGGCTAACTTCGGGCGCGCGGGCTGGGACTGTGAGAGGCACGGACCTGACGCGGGCCGCACGGCCCGCGTGTTTCTTCTCTCCACCTGGTAACAAAAAAGAAATTCTCGCGGGGAGCTGGGACCGAACACGGGACCTAAAGCACTGGATATCACGCTGAAGACAAATGCGCCATACGGCTTCTGCTCTCTTCAATTCGCTCGAAGGCTAATGACCTTGACCGCGAGCTGGACACCTGGGCGCAGCCTGAAGCTTGGAGACCTGGACGCGCGCAATTTGACGGAAAGCTGGGAAATATATTTATTCGACGGGATACGAAATAACAATCTTCGATCTTCTATTGTATGACCTTTACACGATCTCTAATAAATCTTGGTGAAGTGATTTATTAGATTTTTCAGAACCTCTTGATCAGATTCTTCTAAAATTTTACGGCGCTAACCGAATTTTCTCTTGAAAAAGAATCTCTCTCTTTCTTTCTCGCTTGAAGAGGCCAAATTTCTCTAGCCCTTCGGGAAAAAAAATGTGTAAAGCTATTCAAAGAGGTTAGGGGACCTAGTATATTTATAGGCTACAATAGGGACCTAAAGGAGGTGCTAAATATGGGCTTATTCCTTAAGGTTTAGGAATCCTAATTCTACTCCAATACTAATTCAATGTAGGAAATAAATCTGCTACTAATCTAACTCTTCTAGAAGACTCCATAGTCTCCTCCTTGTTAGAGTAGTATACCCGGCGTTCCAATCTGATTGGACGTATTCTACTTATAAATACAATCTATTGGAATTATATTGAATAATAGGCATCACTTTATTTTAATAGTAAGCATTTATCATATATTTGCACTTAAGATAAAGTCCTTAGATCACATATAGCTATAAGATATGGTTGCGCATAGAGATGGTGACCATGGAACATATCTTGAAAGCTATGATCTTAAATACAGTTCTAAGTCGTTGGATGTTTCGAGATGGGATATCGAATAATCCGGAAAAGACTTGCACATAGTATGTATGCTTGAAGGACAAGAATGTTGCATTCCATCAACATTAGCGTGGGACGCAAGTACATATATGTGGGTGCTTGTTAGAGAACAAGTTCACTGAACATGACCGTATGAAAATTCTTAATGAAAGATTTGTCTTGTCGAATAAGAATTTTCATGTTACAATAGTACATGATTGATCCTTAGACTTGAGGCACAATTGTGCATATTATATTTTACTTTGATTTATCCTTTTGATTGCTAGCACAATCGTATAAAGGGATATTTTGGGTATTATATTAATATGTATGAAAGTTTGTTAGTGGCCAACAAAGGATTCGACACTTATGAAGATAAGTGAATTTCCTATGTGTTTCATAGTTAGTAATTCAAATTCCTTGGCCAAGGCGGGATGAATAGAGATTCATAAACGAATTACTAAACTTGAAATGGAATCACAATTATTAAATCAATTTGGGTTTCGACAAAATCATACCCAAAGATTTAATCGGGAAATTGGATGTCGAAAGGATTTTACATGTACGTACTTGTAATTGAAATAGGTTTACTCGCTATTCACTTAATACTAGATTCATGCTACTTGCTAGGTATTCCCATGATATGTGGGTTCTTGAATTAAAGAGTTAATTCATGAATAAGAGTTAATAAGATTAACTCAAATTACAAAGAGTTGTAAACTCACTACTAGTATTAATTGTGAAC